CCATACACTTTTTAAGTCCATAAGCCAGAGCCATACTCAGTCTGTGGTCAAATCATGTTCACAACAAACACATGGCTCTATCAGAACAGCGTGGCTATTAGCATGGATAAGAACTTTCTTTCCTGTTGCTGACAGCAGAGGGCGCTCCAGCCCATCAATGACTCATTGGAAACAAAGGTGTAGTTTATGTAGTTTATGAAGGATTTTTTTCCTCAAGCAGACATTATCTTAAGTTAGAAAATGTGAACTAATGATCCCAAATTGACCAAAAACACATTTAAAGTCAAAACAAATCATAACTGTCCATGGCTAATTGACTAAAACTGGTGGAAAAACAATTAACAAACAGTTTAATTGGACAAGAAACCCTGTAGTTGCCCATTTTAAAGAAGCACGGCTCCATCTTCTCTCTTAAATCTACTGGAACAGGGCAGGTGAAGCTTCCAAGAAGAGGAGGGGATATTAACAGGCTGCTTCTACAAACAGAAAGTTTTGATATTTATTCCTTAAAAACATCTCCTGTGGCTCACTTTTGGACGGGCCAAATGATCAGTGGGCAGAAGGTTTTGTATGGGAGCGGCTCACACGGAGAACCATGATCTGACCAAGATCCACTCATCCAAACGTTGTCATTCATTCAAAGCAGTTTGGGAGTAAATGTGCAGCTTTTTCTCACTGTCTAATTGGACCATGACCTGGTGGTCTTATGTATATGTTTAAAAATATATATTTCCTTGACATTTTTCAGTTGCAACAGTTGCTTCAAAAAGATGTCAGTAATGGTGTAGTATTTTCGCAGTAAGTTTGAAATAGTTGAGTAGAGTTCTTGCAGATGGAGGGTCTGCCGTCTGTTTGTCTCCACGGAGATGTTCTTTCTTGCTCAGCCTAAAATGTTCCACAGTATGGCATTAAGTGTGGAGAGGCATCACAGTAAGAGTGCATGTTTTTAAGAATAAGGTACGCTTTATCATGTCCTTTGCTTCGAGCCATCCTTCAAGGCCTCTGAGCCAACCTGTCAGGACCCATCTCCAGATCTTGAGCTAGTCTTGGACAGGACTGTCTCACCTGGAGGATCTGACCTGTTGGGTTGGGGGGGACTACACCACTTCCCGCTCTACATCCTGCGCATGTCTCCTGCAGAAAGAGCCTCTGTCCTGTCTGTATCAGGTCAGTGTCTTTTAGGATTTCAACAGATTTCAGACTCTCCCGGGGGCGGGGACAGGTGTATGGATCATGTATGAGTGGATGTCCGGCTACTGAAGTTTGAGATGTTTATTCTCATCATTTCCCCATTCACCTGCATTTAACACATACAGGTCACTAAGACGTATCACACTGTTTTAGTGCTGACAGCATCGTTAGCTAGAGCTGTAGCTTCATGTACAGGCTGCATTTTGGTCACTACTGGTTGAACTACATCATGAATGTCTACAAATCACCTGTCCTACGCTTGCACTGTTTGCTTATCATAATCAGAGCACAACGCACATCAAAACTGCCAAACGCAATTGCAGCAGTGCAACTTGATCCACCGACGCACCTGTCTAACTGGGCCCTGGTGGCCGATCTGTGTGTCGTTACTCTGGCTCAGATGAGCTGTGGTGTCCCCCCCCTCTCCCGTGTGGAGGATTAGGCAAAAGGAACTAGCCACTAGTCAGTGTGAATCTGAATACGAGCTGTATATTTACACCACAGCCAGATGAACTCAGTCCAGCTGAAATCAAATCCTCTTCTTATCTTCAAGTGAATAGTTCACACAGTCCCGATGAAGATAAGACACAGAATTCTCCCTAAAAGAGAATTCTCCCTGCACTTCCGTCAGTCTGCCCCAGGGCAGCTGTGGCTGCAATAGTAGCTTACCATCACTGGGTGTGGAGAGAAAGAATAATGAATCTATAATGCCCTGTCAAAGTGTCTTTGTGACATATGTCTGTGAAAAGTGCTATATAAATAAAGACTTACTTACTTGGACACACTTTGACTTGAACTTGATTTATCTATAACTGTATAGCACACAACACTGTTGTTATCTGTTCTTTAGCCTATAGTAGTGGGGCTGGGTGGGAGAGAGCTCACAGGTGATAACAGGTCAGTTATGTGTTAAATGTTTATGAAGAACGGTCAGGTGAGTGTCTCCTGCTCCTCAAACACCCATGTGACGGCTGTAAAGTAATGGGCAGAAGCACCAGATGTGACATCAAATTTTCTCAAAATTTCATTCAGTTCACTTCAACCCAGCTCACTCAAATCACAAAGTGATAAAGTGATATGAGCACATTTAACATGATAAATCTATGCAAATATATGATGATAAAAGTACACATTATTTGAGCTCAAATCTGTACTCAGCACCCTGCAGGCAGCATGAGTAATAACATGGCCGTCTTGCATCATGTAGGGCCATTGTCTAGTAGGCACATTATACCGGCCCTTTGTGTAGGCCCTTTGTGTAGGCCTGTGCCAACAGTGGCACTCTGCACTATCACAATGACACATCACTCTGCTCTGATTCAGGTGAGACTCAGTCCACGTTCACACAGATCATCTTACAGGCCGTCATCTCAAGCAGCTGAAAATATATGAGAGTCATTTCTGTTTGCAGAATGAAATGACTGAGCAAATAGTACAAGATATATGGAGGCTTTATTTGGATTTGAGCAACAAAGGGTTATGCTAACAGAGGATTACTGTAGCTTACTTGTTTTAACCAGAGTATGATTTGACCAGATGTTTGTTTTGTTTCTCCTGATCCAGTCCAGTCTGTTTCATTAAGGCTCTGGACTTCTGTGCTGTACTGAGACTTTGTGCTGGTGTCTGCTCTAGTATCTGACACCTGTGGGTCATTATGTTATAATTTGTAATATTCATCTACAATGACTTAATAAAAGAAACAAGTCTGCAGAGCTCCAACTGGGAACTGCATGTCGCCATAAACCCCATCACAAAAAAGAGTCGGCTCATAAGGACAGGTGTAGATCACGCTAGCAAGTGGTTGATGTTTTTTTCATTTGTACCAAAATGACGTTGCAGAAAACTACATGTGTTACAGAAGAAAAATGGAAGACAAAGTAAGCAGAGGGCGTGTACATGACGTACAGTGACGGTGAAAACAGTGACTAATTGCCAAAATGGCATCTTGAAAATAACAGATTGAAGATTGCTCAACATGCACAAATCACTCAGAGTACTAATCCTTTTTACATAATAGGTCTGCTTTAAACTCTTCCCACTCTTTCCCTACATTGTCCTGATATTCCACGTTCCAAACACGAGGGCCTCCAGTTGGAGAGGCCCTTCTTTTGATTTGACCAGTCAACGTCATCAAACCTGTGGCTCCAGCAGATCTTCCTCCAGGGGCCAGGTTCCCTCTTTCATTTCTTGTTGTTTGGTATTCCACTGAATCCATCTGACAGGGGATTGGCCAATCAGGGGACCCTGTCGGTCAGCCTCACCTGCTTCCACCTTTCACGATGGCGACATATATAAACAATATTCAAAGGATCAAAAACTTGTTTGTTATAAACCTAAAAGACTCTCTCTGATCAGATTGGTTTTGCTGCAAATGCACACTTTCCGATTATTGGACTAAAAACCCTTTATAATTAGATTCAGACAGTACACAACTGACTTACTTTGACCCCAAGCTGTAACAATATGTCCTTACAGAACATTTGCTTTAACACAAGCATTGTGATTGTAGAACCAGTTATAGGAGAATATAAACCTACTTTTAAAGAAAAGTACCACAGAAACTGGTCCCCTTCGTCGCGCCTCTCTCTCCTGGGGCAGGGACACTATGTACAAGACCAGAATTACCTCCCTTTGTTCCATCTGTGAGATTAAAGCAGGGCTCTAAAAGTCCAGCCTATCAGCTCTACATCTGGACAGTGAGTGTACTGTCGGTGTGAGCACCTGTGTGACCCGAGGAGTGACCGCAGGACAGCAGCAGAGCACAGGTGCACAGCTGATAAGGTCCTAATGGTGCTGTGAGGCCTGGAGCAGCTTTTTATGCCATTTTAATGTCTCTACAACAAGATTTTATCTCACAAAACAAATCATGTCATTTTGATTGAGATGGAAGAAGAACATGTGCTATAGGTCATCTGTTTCTTTTAGACAAATCAAATTTAATTTTGAATTGGGATGAAAAAGGGACACTGTCATTAATGATATTATCATCTAGTATTATTCATGTACCTTTTCTCTAGCTACCTCTGTCATACACTAAGGGGTGAGGACATAGGCCTTTAGGCAGCTGGTGTTGAAATCCGGGACATCTGACAGACCTGTTCTGCCACGTTTTACTGAGTGAGGATCTGCTCAAGCACAACATGCAAAATAACACTTATGTGTTTAGAGTTTTTCTCATAATTTTTTCTGGTCAATAAGACCAGACCGTAGGGTGATGCTCAAAAAGGCACTTTTCACATAGTCCGAAGCAGCAGCCTTATAAGGTCTGTAAGACCGAGGCTGCTACAGCTAAACATCATCCACTGGAGAGAACAGGGTCACTGTCCACATGGATGGCAACACTAGAATTGAAGCAAACACTCAAATCAGTAGACCACATCCATTATGGTGATAAAGAGGGCATTAGCTCTGTATGTGCACTACGCCACAACCACAACCACAATCAAACACAAATCTTGTTCCAAAATTAAGCAGTCATTTGCAGGAACTGCACCAGATCAGGTGATGATAGACAGAGTATGATGCAAACTCTCATCACAGGGTTCATGTAAACAAACAGCACGTGTCCCTCACGGGCACAATGGGCATTGGGCACCCTGACCCGTGCGCACAGATCCACCGTGCGCCGCAGCCCCTCCGGGCTTTGGAGCGGGTGGCGCCGTGTGCGTTGTGCTGACCATTACATACTATCCATCATAAAGCCGACAGCATCCGCGTGCCCACCCCTTCTGTACACACTGTGACGGCCCGCCTCCTCCCCGTGACGTCAGCACGTAGCTCTCCTTCCTGGATAAATACGCTCTCTGCGCCATGAGACTCCGCACACAGGATCACAGCGAGCAGAGAGGACCGGCCCGAGCTCTGGCCACACCGCGACTATTACAATCCTCCCTTTGAATAGCACACTTGAGTATACCACAGCACCGCAGCCATGATGAACGGACAGATGAACGGCTACCACAACGCGCTCATCGACGAGGACTGCTTTTTATTCACCTCCGAGTCCGTGGGAGAAGGGCACCCCGGTAAGAGCCGCCGCGCCTCTCAGAAAGGCGTTCACTCCTTTGATTCCGCCTTGCTGTCGCGTGTAATAAAACTAAAGAAGAACCCACGTCTGTTGTGTTTCCAAAGCCCGTCTGGATCTGCTGAATGTTGGTGATGAGTGAGGCCGGGGGGGCTTGTGTGAGGCGCTAGCTGCTAACACGCGCTAGCCTATTTGGATGACCGCAGTAATCCGCGTGTCTTGGAGAATCCATTAGCTCTACACGTTTTACGCATGGTGGGCTCCATGACAAACCCGTAATACGCGGCCCGAACTCTTAAAACACCGCCCTGGGATGGTCTAGACACCGGCGTTTGACTTGTAAACGTATTTAGAAAGGTACTGTAGCGTTATTTTAGCCGTAGCATCCAAACTGTGGGACATTGGTGCGTTTGGAGCTGGTTCGGAGCCTTCACGCGCCCGCTGCCTTCCGGTCCCGGTGCGATGCGCGCGCTCATTCCAGCCCCACGTGCGCATGATGCAATGGCGGCTCTAAGAGTCTGCGACACTCCCGCCGGGTGTCCCGCCGGGGCGCCCTGGAGCGCTCTCCCCCTGCACCAGTGCTCTTTGTGCCGCACACGGAGGACACTCGGACGGAGTTGGTGGACTTTCACAGCTGCGGGGAGATTAGGGCTGTCACTGGTGGAAGTGCTGCCTTCTAAAAACCAATGAGGGACGAGCCAGTACTCTAAAAATACCTATGAGTAACGCAGTCGGTATGAGTAATACTGTAGAAGTGCACGTGGGAAGTATTTGGTTACATTTACGGTTACATTTACTAACTTTTAAAATAAAACCGTACTTGTCAGCCATACCTGTAATACATTTAATGGTGTAACAGTGCTCTTGAGTAAAATTTGCAGTTCCTCGACCCACTATGAGTAAGTATATATGAATAAGTGTACAAGTGACCAAAGCTTCACACTGACCGTATGAAATAATTCAAAGATTAGTTTCTTGCACCGATCCTTAAGATATGATTAACATTTTTTGGGGGGTCTAGCTTGTAAAAATCAGATTTTGTGCATACAATGTTTCTTGTACTTAAAGTTGTATTTATTGCAAATAAAAATATAATTTGGATGTGATGGGGCAATTACTCTTGAATAATATTCTTTTTGAAGTAATGCAACACTTAAGCAGAATTGTGTCCTCGTTACCCACCTCTGCACATGGCTAGTAACAACACAAAGAAAGCAAGATGGGCAAGGATGAATAATTTGTCCAAAGTGGTGTGACTAAATATGCACAAGAGGCCAGCCAAACCCTACAAACTAATTGTGTATACACTTCAGCGTTAATGTTGTTAAATAATAAACTCAACATTTCTACTGTGCTCTGGATGGTTTTCAGTAATGACTTGATGAATGTTGTGTTTTATTTTCAGACAAGATCTGTGACCAGATCAGTGACGCTGTTCTGGATGCTCACCTGAAGCAGGACCCTGATGCCAAAGTAGCCTGCGGTAGGTCCCAGTCTGTTTTCACATGAGTCTGAAGACTTACAGTTTGAATGACATGTGTGCTTTTGTGTGCTTCAGAGACTGTTGCCAAGACCGGGATGATCCTTCTGGCTGGAGAGGTGACTTCCCGCGCTGTGGTGGACTACCAGAAAATAGTCCGTGACACCATTCGCCAAATCGGATACGATGACTCTTCCAAAGGTAATACTGCAATGAGCTTGTTGAGTCTTCAGTGATGGAGCACACGTGACCGCTCTGTTGTTGTAGGTTTTGACTATAAGACCTGCAATGTTTTGGTGGCCTTGGAGCAGCAGTCGCCTGATATCGCTCAGGGAGTCCATATTGACCGCAACGAGGAAGACATTGGAGCAGGGGACCAGGTCAGATAAGGGCTCCAGGGAACATGTGGGCCTTGACTATCCGGCTTGTAATAAATGGTCTTTGATGCTTGTCCTTTGGCAGGGCTTGATGTTTGGCTACGCCACTGACGAGACCGAGGAGTGCATGCCTCTCACCATTGTGCTTGCACACAAACTCAACTCCAAAATGGCCGAGCTGCGACGCAACGGGACTCTGCCCTGGCTCCGACCGGACTCCAAGACCCAGGTACAGCATGGGTTCTACATATGTTAAAGGACCTTTTTAGACTTTAGAACACAGGCTAAGTACATGTGACTGTGCTTGTACAGGTGACCGTACAGTACCGGCAGGACCGGGGGGCCATGCTGCCTGTGCGTGTCCACACCATTGTGATCTCTGTCCAACATGATGAGGATATCTGCCTGGAGGAGATGAGGGATGCCCTAAAGGAGAAGGTGATCAAAGCTGTGGTCCCCTGCATCTACCTGGATGATGACACCATCTACCATCTGCAGCCCAGTGGGCGTTTCGTCATCGGGGGCCCTCAGGTAGCACACTGTACAACACCTCTTCACAATGCACTATGTATATGAGACTTACTCTTTTCTATGTCCTGTTATTCTAGGGTGACGCAGGACTGACTGGCCGAAAGATCATTGTGGACACTTATGGAGGCTGGGGCGCTCATGGGGGCGGGGCCTTCTCTGGTAAGGACTACACAAAAGTGGACCGCTCAGCCGCGTATGCTGCCCGCTGGGTGGCCAAGTCTCTGGTGAAGGCAAACCTCTGCCGGAGAGTCCTGGTCCAGGTGAGAACTTTCATACTGGAATGTTTCCTTCTGAACAAGAGCTTCATTTAGAACCCATCTGGACCTTCAGTAACACATGTGTGGTTCTAGGTGTCCTATGCCATTGGAGTGGCCCATCCTTTGTCCATTTCAATCTTCCACTACGGGACGTCCAACAAGAGTGAGCGTGAGCTGCTGGACATTGTGAAGAGGAACTTTGATCTGCGCCCAGGAGTCATTGTCAGGTAACCACTAGAGGAACGAGCTCTAGAAGAGTTCTCCTGGAACTGTAGTACAGTCAGTTTGAATGCTGCAATTGGAGCTGCCTCACTGTAGGAGTGTGTAGGCCTTAAATAGGACTGCTGACGGCAGCTGTGTGCACGCCAGGCGGCTCATTAATCTTTGTTTATGAGTTTAACACCGTTTTGGAGGTGTAGGGGAGTTTAAGTTACGTTGCTGTCTAGTAGTACTGCAAAATCCATGTTATTTTAAATACAGCAGATAAGTGGCTTTGTTCCAGTCACAGACATGGCCTCAGGGATGTGGTAAGTGTCCTGGTGCATGCTTGACCTGAGCCGCAGGTCTAACAGGGTGGGTACTGCGCACATGTAGCCTGTTTAACATCTCTCAGTATTAAAGTGCTGGTATAACTGGCCTGTAGTGTGGCTGTGACTGCTGCTAAATCTCCTGATTATGTATTCCAGGGAGCTGGATCTGAAGATGCCCATGTATCAGGGGACTGCAGCCTACGGCCACTTTGGCCGAGATTGTTTCCCATGGGAGGTGCCCAAAAAGCTCAAATACTAAACGTGTTAAGCTTTTCCCCCCAGGCTTGTTGGTGTATACTACAGAGAAGCCTCAAGTCTCCCGGGGAGAAATGCCTTTGCATCATGCCCTCACTGATTCCCTCCTCACTCCTCACTGTCCTGTTACTGATGGCACATCTGTGGGTCCCACATGTTCAGTCTTGTAGCTAAAGCTTTCAGGTCCCTTGGCATTCCTCTGTACTCAGTGGTAATCAATGGTTAGTCTTTTGTCCTGTGGTGGTGGACATGTCTCAAGCCTTCTAAGGTCATGGTGCTACTGGTGCTGGTGTGGCAGTGTCAGGCGGTCCTCTCAAACATTCCTCTGCTGTTAGACCCAGTGTTCCTGTCTTTTTGCTTTATTCCCTCTTTGTCTTTGTGGAGGATGCTAGAATGGCACAATTAAAATTCGAGTTGTTGCTGTTTTCACTCAAATGCTATGCATTGCAGGCTACAGGAAAAGCCAAGTCCTACAAGCTCTGAACGAGCAGCTCCTCAGACTCCCCACGCACAGACCGGAGCAGTTTTCTGACGTAATACAGAAAAGTCAGAAGCTGCTGTCTGCTCTGGTCTGCACTGGGACTGGTGATACTTGAATTCAAGACAAATTGGATCATTATGCATTGAAATGAAATTTTTAGATGCGTCCTTTTTTGCACATGAAATGTTGGCATGTCCCTGGCTCCATGCGCTGTTGGCAGGTGTAGCTACAGAGAAACCTGCTGCTCAGCTCTGGAGCTGGGGTGTCTTTGCCTTGCCCTCTATGGGCTCGTCCTCAAACCTCCACTATTTATTTGTTCTCTGAAGGGCGGCGTGATACAGAGAAGCCGTTTCAGAAGGCAGCTTTCCACTGGTATGGACTCGTGACTTTTTAGAGTGTGACGTGAGGCTCCAGAGTGTGCTACAGAAAAGCTTCGGTTCGCCTCATGACACAAGTGTCAACTTTAATTTTTTTACCTGCACATTCTATTTATGAGGTTCTTGGTGTTTGAAATCCCATTGAAAATGTTGGTGCAATGTGTATAATTGGCTCTTGGCTGGACACTGGGGATGGAGACATGTGGCTGGTGTTGTACAGAGAAACCAGCCTTGTTTACAGACCATCCCTCAGTGGTCCAGTGCTCTCCCACCGCTGGCTCACGTAAGCTTGAGTGCCTTTTCTATTCCTCTGCTTTTGCTTTCCTCCGCCCCCTCCTCCCCCTCTCAGAACACCCGCACTGTAGTGTCCATGTGTACGATGCTCTGTAAGAATAAACAACCACTCATCCAACCCCGTGTCTGTCATTCTTTCACCTGTGATGTAAGGCTACAAATGAGCAAACGGGTTCAATCGGGTTCCATTCACACTTGCTCACCATGACCTGTTACAACTCGTGGTAAAATGTTCCCATAAATTTCCACTACATCCTGATGACTGTGCAGTATGTGTGTAAACCAGCACTAAGCTGAAGAGTCAGGTAGTACTTTTACTCTGAGGGTAAAACTATAAATCTTACAATGAGATTAGAAAGTCAACCTGCATATTGTAGTAGTTTAGGAACTGTTGGCCAATCTAATGAGTTACATGTGACGACAAAGCATGGAAGTTACCGTGGTGTTTATATACCTTATAATAATAATCCTATAAAAATGCATTCAGCAAACAGCATGAGCACAATGGTAATGGGTCACACTGGTTTTCTTTAACATCTCTGTTATTGGCACTTTAAAATCACTACATTCCTCTTGAGTGGATTTTACCAACACTTATTTGACTTTGTGAGGCACTTTTTAATTAAAGTTATTTTACTACCAGGCAAAAAGGCCCAATGTTTCAGTAAGTCCTGAAAAAGTCCAAACGATTCAAGATTAAAGGGCTTAATGATTGTGTCATTTTCTGATCCGTTATGTTTCTTTGTCACACACAGACCTGGAGTTTGTTTTGTTTCATTGTTTCACACAAACCCTGCATGTTTAGGCTGTGTTCTTCTCACCTGCAAACTCTGTTCCACCTTGTGATGTCATGTAATACAGGAAGTGCTCCACTGTGGTTTTTAATCTCCATACACCTTTATCAAATTAACTGGGAATTCCAGGGCAGCAATAATTCAAATCTTTATTGAACAAAAGATAAAGGGCAGCTGTTAACTCAAATGTCCTGACATCACAAGGAAAGGAGCAATGTCAGCTTTGGACATGTACACAGGCAAATTACTGTTACTGTGTGCATGAAACAAAACTAACTCTAGGCATGATTTTGATAAAACTGGAATATAATCTGTTTGGAGTGATTGGGAATAATAAAATTGTGAAATGTAATTAAGGAAAACTGTTTTGCACTCGGCCCATTCATGACCAACATGAGTCAGTATAGTCACATTTTCTTTGTGTTTTTGTAATTTTTAAGCAGCTTTTCTGTATTTTATGGAAACAAATCACAATATATGTCTCTCTTAACTGTTGGCAGGGATCAGAATGGTCAAAAATGGGGACACCAGGGACAGTTCTTGTATAAAACTGGGACAAAACACTGTTTTTGTATAAATCTACTGGGACATGGGACACAGACTCAACCCTGGGACTGTCCCGGGGAAATGGGGATGTCTGCTCACCCTGATAACAACATGACTTACAAGTTTATGTAATATAGGACCTTTACTCTGAACACAATCTTAACTTAAACGTGTGTTGTCTCAGGCGGTACAGAGGGATGAGGACTTATAGTGGCCCCTGCACTGTTGTATTACACTTCCAGTGTTATCAGCCCTGTTGTCAGCACAGACTTTGTCTGCACCTCATGTTCTTGATTTGAACCACATTCCAAAGAGAAACTTAGCCCAAAGCCCTCATGCACACCGCTGAAACGAAACAAGAATTTTAAAACAGCAGAGACATGAAACAAAAATGTGCTATTAAAAACTCCAATGTTTTCACAAGAGCCTATAATTAGACTGTATCAAGGCTGTACATATTAGGACGATATTATTTAGAGGTATCAATACTTGATTAGGTGTTATTGTTGACTTGCTGCTCGTGTTACTGCTATGGAGTGCAACACTGAAGCCCCCACACCCCCCGGTTTCAAAAGTACATTTCCTAGGGTGAGCAGATGTCTCTATTTACCCAGGACAGTCCCAGTTTTGAGCCTGTGTCTGCTGTCCCAGCAGATTTATACAAAACCAGTCACCTGTCCCAGTTTTATACAAGAAATGTCCCAGGTGTGAAGCATAAACTGTCATTTGTTGAGGTAAAATACAGAAAAGTTGTTAAAAAATTACCAAAACACAAAGAAAATGTGACTATCCGGACTCACATTAGTGCCGAGTGCACAACAATTTTCCTCCATTACACACTCATTTCACAATTTTATTATTATCAACCACCACAGGGATGTCCTAGTTTTTTATTTTGAAAATCTGGTCACCTATCCTATACATTTTTCTCACAGAAGTTCCAAAAAAAATGAGCTGGATGGCCTCCATGATGTTTTTGAACTCTTAATAACTGCATGATTTAAAGTCTATGGGGAAAAACCAATGGAAAATGGACTTGTGGGACCAGAGTCGACTTGGGAGAGTGTGGGACTGTGGAGGCGTTATCCACCTTACCGGGTCATGTGACCACAGCACAGGCCAGCTGCCGGACACATGAGAAGGCCACAGCACTGGCTCAGTGCTCAGGATCAAAATCCATCTGCATAAGAGCACGTCCATTAGCCTACTGTACTATTTGGATGCCACTTAAAAGACCATCTTCAGAATCTGGATTCAGTGATTTTACAGTGAAAAACAGCATGTGTAAAAGACTTGAATCAATCATTTTGACACTGATCTTGAGTACTCGAGTAATATTAACTGCTTTAGTTGTACTGATGTGTGTACAATCCCTCTGTTGTCCAGGTAGAATCCATGGCAAAAAAAGATTTTGATAAAATACGTTTCACAGCTTGAAGAAGCAGTTTGGATGAGCTGGGAAACGTATTCAGCCAAAATAAACTTTTGTCCTGTTGACAAATTAAATATGTTCTTTTGCCTTAGTCGTATTGAGTTAGTTTATGTGACTTGCTTTGGTGAATCGTTTTCAAGCTAATATATTTGTCAATTCATTTTTACCCCTTAAATGGCTTGTACCTGCTTGTCTCCATGGAGATGTTAATGCTTAGACTGCAGTATTCCCTACTTGGCATTAAATGGATCTATTATGCATGTTAAATTCAATTCAATTAAACATTTATTGCTCATAATACATCGTACAGCGTATATTTTTAGCAACCTCACCTCCATAGATCTAACCTTTAATTGAGTCTGGTTTCACCCCTGCTTGTCTCCATGAAGGCTAACTTGATTTCCTACTGTAACAGATGAGTTATTCAGTTGATGAATCAGTTGATGGTGCTGGACTGTATATAAATAAATCATTTCCTAGTACGTTTTTTCTGCATAAATAGTAGTTTTTTGTGAACTCCCCTGCAGCTGTAGTCTTGTGAGTGTCGTTTGGGTCAGATAGAGATACAGTGTGTGACAGTTGAGAGCATTTGCCACGCCCCCTTTCTAGTCGACTCATTGATCGGCAGCACATGTCTTAAGTCGACCATGAATTTCGACTACAGCCCTAATCTCTGTGGAGACAAGCAGGTGACAGACCCTCCCTCATAACAGTGCAGCTTTAATGAACTTAAACTTCAAGATTGCTTGTCTGACTTGAGCTCAGTCCTGTTCACTGGTGCTGGTGTGTATTTTTGCTGTGCAGTGATCAGGCGCCTGGCCTTATCAGAAGGAGCTGCTGTAAAAGTGTTGAGCCTCACGTGCCTGGAGAGTGACGCTCAGATGAAATACTGATGTAATTCTCCCTTTTGAAGAGCGGCAGCTGTGGGCCTGAACCTAACCTCTATATTTAGGGCAAGTGTCAGGGACGAGGAGGAGCCATGAGGGGTATGACTGACCTACTCACTGTCCCAGGTCCAAGGCTGGAGTCAGTACGAATCTTCACCTTTGAACTTTTAATATGAGCATGGCACCGTATGGCATTATACTTACTCTTGCACTGACTCTGTCAGGATTTTTTCTCCATAAATCTGACCTGTAACTTGGCCTGTTCATGTCACCTGCCTGTCTCTATAGACATAAGTTTAATGCCATACTGTGGAACATTTTTAGGCAAAGTAATCACATCTGATGGATGTGCCCTCCACCTGCAAAGTTACTGCACACTGTATAGTCAAAAAATATTCTTTATCTTAATTCAAGATCTTTAAACTAATTATTGACTTAGATTTTATAAAATTGACCAGACACTGGTCAGTTTTATAAAATCTAAGTCAAATATGAGGCAGACCTGCTCAAGTCAAATAGACTCAAATAGAACTTTTATTGAGAACAACTGTAATGCTGATGTATTCTTAATTACAAAAACACTGGATAAGATATCCAGTGTTTGTTGATGTTTGTTATAATTTGGACTTTTGATTCTCAAGACAATTATATAATCAGAAAACAGAATGAGTCTCACATGACTCTTTCATTTATGTTGCAGTTTCAATGTTGAAATCCAATGTGTTTAAACCTAAAATGTCTCTGATCTGAGTGGTCTCTCCCTAAACCCCAGCCTCTGCAGCTCAGTGAGTGAACATTCAATGTTTTGGCCCTTGTTTCCTTTGCAGTTGCTGGGTAACAGTCATAGAAATGACCTCTGTCTACTCACAGAAGTCATAATTTTTTTAAGTCCATGATGTCTACTGTTCGTCTCCAACCAGAACGTCTCTTGTGGGTTTTAAGCCATGTTAGAAAACAGACCTGGAGTGTTTTGTTTCATTCACACACGTCTGAGTAACTCTCCAAAGCTCAAAATGCTGTGTTCCACTTTGTGAAGTCGCACAGCAGTAGATTTCAAGTTTACATTTGACCCTTAGTTCAGGAGAGATTGACAATGAAATGATCTAAATGATAGTGAAGGTGTATGGAGTTTAAAAACACAGTGGAGCACTTCCTGCATTATGACATGACATCACAAGTGAGAACAGAGTGTTTTTAGTGTGAGAGAAGAACTCCGCCTTAATCTGCAGGGTTAAACATGTGTGAATGAAACAAAACACAACTCCATGGATGTTTGTGATGAGGAAAAGTCATTATAGCAGAAATCAGAAAATAGAATAATCTGGGCCCTTGAATATGGACGTAAACTCTGCCTCATGCCCTTTCACCTTCATAATACACGTTGTTAAAGAGTGATAGGTAGATCAAAGTGTTACCGACTCTGTGAAACATTAATGATTTTAAAGTGTGTGTCACTCAG